CCACCCAGGTGCCCCTAAAATACTTTTTTTTTTAACGTATTCTTTTACCTAGTTTCTGAGAATATTAGTAAAATCCTTTTATAGTACAGAAAGAAAAACCAAACCATAAAGGGCTCATGCAAGTATTAAGATCAAGCAAACACACAAAACTATCAAGTATCCTTTGACCAATCAGAACAATATCCTAAATATTTAAAGCAATAGTAGGTTTGAATTACATTCAAAAAACAGGGTGCCCTTAACTGAAAGAACTAACAAGTCAAAAACCAAGGATAGATGCAGGACAGATAGACACAAGAGTTAAATTATTTCAAGCTCTAGAAGACATGTACATGAGACTAGATCATGAATAAGGATACCAACTATTACGCTTTAAAAATTTAATTCATTCATTATTTTAAAATATCATCTGTTTTGAAACCAATTCTAAGCCAGGAATATTTAATTTTCTGATTATTACTATTCTCTCCAAAGTAGGTTCCGAATACAACGTTATTACCTCCAATAAGTTCTGAAGTTCTTCTTCCCTTTTGTTTAAGCAAGATACCCACTGTTCAGAAAAAGCAAGCGTGCTTGCGTCCAGGGCCTCGCATCTCTGTTCAGTCTCTTGAGATACTACTTCAAGGTTGCTACTGAGTTTATCACAGTGTTTCACAGACTCTTCAACCAATTTTGTACCTTCTTGGTTACAGCATCTGAGTTCCTGTGACAAGCCATCACAATCAGCACAAAACTGTGTACTATGAGAGGCTGTTTTGCTGATTATATCCTTAGATGTCCTATAGAAAAAGAGAACATTGTTAAAATGGAAAACTAAGACTCAAAAGACCTATAACTTGCCCAAGATCACACAGTTCAAAAATGGCATATTTGAACCCAGGCAGTCTGGCTCCAGAGCCCATGTTCTTAATCAATCTTCTACACTGACGATGGATGCTTTGGCCAGTGTCTTTTCACAGCAGACTGACATCACATCGGCCATTAAATGACCTTTGGAAATGTCTCTTTTCTCATAAAACCTTTCCAGCTCTCCTCCAGATATGACGCTTTACTTTGTACCTCATAGAGTAATGACTATATAGTTACTAAAATAAAATCTGCCCATGTGTTTTTTTCCTCCTACTAGATTATGTTTCTTAAGGGCATCACCTGCAGCCTCTAGTCTAGTCCCTAAACTGTCCACAATCAATCATTCTGATCTTAAGTAGTTTTGCCTTGTCCAAGACCTTAAATAAATGGAAAAAATTATAAATGTTATAAAACAAAGTCAACTATAAAGCTTTCTAATAATTAAGAAGATTATATTGGGTGTGACAAACTATACACCTAGCACACACAGTACACTGCAATATACCCCTGATAGAAAACTAAAGTCCTTTCAGGACTTCAGAGTTAAACTTTGGTGAATGAAAGTTGCTCTCTATTACCACTAGATGGTAGACCATGTGAGGAAACCAAATAAGGAAGCAAATAGGTTGAAAACCAAAGTTCAACTACGGGTTAAATGGAAATGATTGAAAAAGGAAAAGAAATTCAAGTGATAAGCTTGGAAACTATCAACACAAATCTAGTCCCTCAAGGAATCACAACCTAGCAGGAAGATGAAATTTATTCATGAGTGACTACAATCCATGACAGTAAGTGCCACAGGCAGTGAGTGGGTCTCGAACTTCAGTATACATAAACCTCCCCTAGATTCCTGGGCCCTACTCCTGGCTCATTCTTTTACACGGTCCCTGGACCACACTTTGAAAACCACTGCCATAGGCAATAAATGTCAGAAAGATTGGGGAAAATGGCTTGCAGGGGGCTTAAAAAGAGTATATCATAGTTCCATAGCCATTTCAATCCTATTCCAGTATTCCCTTCAGAGCTATTGAAGAAGCCAGAAATCCTTAAGTCTAAACACTAGGAAAAAAAGTGGGGAAACACTTCCTAGACACTTCAGAGTCTAGAAAGAAGAGTTCAGAATGGGGCATGATATAATGATATAATAAGATCAACAACAGATTTGGAAAACCAGTGATAGGAGTTACGTAGTAAAATAGGTGACAGCTAGAATTCTAGGACAGCACTGTTCAATAGATATAATATGAGCCACATAATTAAAAATTTTCTAGTAGCAGGGAGCCTGGGTGGCTCAGTTGGTTAAACGACTGCCTTTGGCTCCAGTCATGATCCTGGGGTCCTGGGATTGAGCCCTGCATCGGGCTCCCTGCTTAGCGGGGAGCCTGCTTCTCCCTCTCCCTCTGCCTGCTACTCTGCCTGCTTGTGCTCTCTGTCTCTGCCTCTCTCTCTGTCAAATAAATAAATAAAATCATTAAAAAAAAAAATTCTAGGGGTGCCTGGGTGGCCCAGTCGTTAAGCGTCTGCCTTCGGCTCAGGTCATGATCCCAGGGTCCTGGGATCAAGCCCCACATCAGGCTCCCTGCTCAGTGGGAAGCCTGCTTCTCCCTCTCCCACTCCCCCTGCTTGTGTTCCCTCTCTTGCTCTCTCTCACTCTCTGTCAAATAAAAAATAAAAAAATCTTAAAAAAATTCTAGCAGCAAAAAAAAAAATTCTAGTAGCCACATTAAAAAAATAAATAAAAAATAAATAAAGCGATTAGAGTAACAGTGTCCTGGGTGTATACAGCATATGCCAAAGCAAAATATATGAAAACAATGCAAAAGAGATGGGAAGGAGAAATTGGGAACATACTGTTATAAGGTCCTTTTATCACAGCTGAAATAGCAAATTACTTGGAAGTGTATTAACATTATTTAAAAATATGTAACATTAATCCTAGAAAAACTATTTTTAGAAAAGGTAACTTAAAAGTATAAACGATAAGAGGTGCCTGGGTAGCTCAGTCGGTTAAGTGTCTAACTCTTGGTTTTAGCTCAGGTCATGATCTCAGAGCCTGCTTAGGATTCTCTCCCTCTCCCC